CTTGACTCCCTCTTCTTTGTGGCAGCCCCTGAGATATTGGAACACTGCTATCATGTCCCCCCTCGTCCTTCTCTTCGTTAAACTAGACATACCCAATTCCAGCAACCGTTCCTTATATATTTTAGCCTCCAGTCCCCTAATCATCTTTGTTGCTCTTCTCTGTACTCTTTCTAGAGTCTCAACATCTTTTTTACATCGTCGTGACCAAAACTGGATGCAGTATTCCAAGTGTGGCCTTACTAAGGCATTGTAAAGTGGTATTAATACTTCACGTGATCTTGATTCTATCCCTCTGTTAATGCAGCCCAGCACTGTGTTGGCTTTTTTGGCAGCTGCAGCACACTGCTGGCTCATATTTAGGTGATTTTATTATTGGCGTTCATATATTCTTCAAAATTGCTGAGAGCCCATGATATTTTAAGTTAATACATTCATTAACATCTTCAGATTAGAAGGGGTTGAATGCCACCTGAGAAAAAGCAGCTATTTGAGTTTTTGATTCTATTTAAAAAATACAGGTAACTTTTAAGTTGCATTATATCTACCCTATGATTCCTAAGCTTGAACTTCAGTTTTTCAGGAAAGTCCAAATGTAGACAATCTATGGCATAAAAATAAACTTGGGAAATGAATAAAATGCTTGACTCTGCAAATAACACAGATTCCATAATGATTTTGAATTGGACGTTTTGTCCTTTTGTTTCATACTCAAGCTCTTTCAGTAACGTGAAACATTATTTGTTGAAGCAAATTTCCTTTATTCTTGGTATATCAAGTCATCATAAAATGAGTCATGGATTGTTTTCCAATAGTTCATGATGACCTGAGGAATGAAGTGTGTGGTTATGTGGCTGTGTCCATAGGATAGTGATGGCGAACCTTTTAGAGACTGAGTGCCCAAACTGCAACCCAAAACCCACTTATGCATTGTCAAGTGCCGGGTGGGTGTGGTCCATTGAGTGGGCATGGCTGCGGTGGTAACGGCAGACTGGGTGGGACTAAAAAGTTCAATCAATCAATTCCAACTTTGCAAGATCTTTTTTTTTCCCGTGAGAAGTTGAAAGTGACTGATTGATTGAACCTTTTGTTTTTGCACACGGCGGCGGAGGCCTAAAGCGAAAAGGTTTTATAAAACCCAGCTGAAGGCCTAGGACTGGGGTGACGGCGTGCGTGCCCACAGAGTGGGCTCTGAATGCTGCCTCTGGCATCTATGCCATAGGTTCGCCACCACTGCCATAGGACCTTATGCTGCCATAGATGAGGTTCCTGCACGGATAACTGGGCTATGTAAGAGATCAATCAATCAGAATAGAACTGGAAGGGACCTTGGAGGTCTTCTAGCCCAAACCCCTGCTCAAGCAGAAGACTCTATACCATTTCAGACAAGTGACTGTCCAGTTTCTTCTTAAAAACCTCCAGTGATGAAGCATCTACAACTTCTGATGGCAAGCTGTTCCACTGGTTAATTGTCCTCACTGTTAGGAAGTTTCTCCTTAGTTCCAGGTTGCTTCTCTCCTTGATTAGTTTCTAACCATTGTTTCTTGTCCTGCCTACAGGTGCTTTGGTAAATAAGTTGACCCCCTCCTCTTTGTGGCAGACTCTCAAATATTGGAATACTGCTATCATGTCCCCCTAGTCCTTCTTTTCTCTAGACTAGCCAAACCCAAATCCTGCAACCATTCTTCATATGTTTTAGTCTCCAGGCTTTTATCAGTTGCTCTTCTTTGCACTTTTTCCAAAGTCTCAACATCTTTTTTGTAATGTGGTGACCAAAACTGGATGCAGATAGATTAGAACATTTTGGTGGGAAGCAATGAAACTCTGATTCAGGTATAGAATGTTAGAGATAGAATTTGATAAAGCTAAAAATATCACCCTCATATTTGTGATATTTGGCAGTTGCAAAGGTTAGGGAGTAAAAGTTAATAGAACTCTGCCATAAGCATTTATCTTTAAGAACAAACTCCCTCCTTTTTTTTTTACTTTCTCCTAAGGCTGAAAAAATTGACTTGGAACTGAAGGAAAAAAAAGTCAGGACAGCTGTGCAATGGTGTAGAACACTCAGAGGAATGGAGCCATTCTGGACTGACATATCATTTCACAGACTACTGCTTTCACAAATTAAAACTTGACAGGGCTTCTTCCTTGGCTGACTTTTTTTTTCCTCTTCAGGTTTCCCCCCCACATACACCCCGCTCTTTTTAACACCAAGAGAAAATATATTTATAATTTTTATGTGTATTTCTCATTTGATTATGTCTGAATGACCACATTTTTTTCTCTCTCTGCTCAAATATATCCAGGGTTTTTCACTCAGATCTCAACCCTAGCTGATGTGCAAGAAAATGTTATGGAATATCTCCACGTGCTCAGTCGACCTAAAGTAATTGATCAAGAACATGATGTAGTGTGGACTGAAGCCTATGTCGACAGTACTGTAAGTCTGCAAGAGGCAATGTCTGATAAATCCTGTTTATATGTAAAGTATCAAATAATTTTGTTCCAGTGTTGTAATACATTTTCTGTGATTCTGCTTGTTGTTGTTTTTAAATGTGGGTTATGCAAATGCTGCTAATATTTACCTAAGTTAAATAAGCTTAATTCTGCAGCTGCAGCACTTGATGGAAAGGTTTTCATTTTAAATAAATGTTAAACCCTCTGTATCAGAGCCTATTAAAGCTGCCATGTAGCCCAACAAACACATAGAGGAAGTATGTATGAAATCAACTGGTTTTTCAATTATAAACAATTCTATATTGCAAATAGCAGGATCATGCTTGTTATGATGTAAAGCAAAAATTGGTGACTGGTTAATTGCTCACAAAGATACAAGAATCCTTTGAAAGTCTTCTAATCTACATATTTTATGCAAGAACAAATAATGTAACCTGTTCAGAGTCAAGGCAGACTTGATGAATGTTTGACGGCACCAGAATTGTGTGTAGCCAGTAAAAATGAAATTGTTCAAAATGAACTGGGCCTTAACTTCCATATTCCCTAACATAATTACCTTTGGCCAGGGAGTAGAAGAGTTGAAATCTTATAAATGAAGGAAGAGAGAGAGAGAGAGAGAGAGAGAGAGAGAGAGTGAGAGAGAGAGAGAGAGAGAGAGAGAGAGAGAGAGAGAGAGAGGGAAAACACAAGGCTGTCACTCTGGGGCAGTCACTCCAACCTACCCTCAAAAAGTTGTCTGTGAAAGAAAATTGGAAGACGTACCTTGAGCTCTTGAAGGAAAGCAGCATATAAATAAAATAAATACATAAACAACCAATTCTAATTGAAAATGTTGCATGAATAACAGAAAAATTAATAACTCAAGGAAAAAGCTAAAAGTGCAAGAAAGTTGAGGGAGGGTAAAAGCAAAATAGAAAAGAATGAAAAATAGATACAAGGAAGTAGTTTCCAATCATCTTTACAGCACTTATAAGTAAGTATAATATTCCCTTTTATTCTATGGTTACACCACAACTCTTTTCTTTCTTTAATCTATCCTATCTATTCATCAAAACCATACGATTATTTTTTCGGTTTCATGCACACAAAAAATCCTCAAATGGTTTCCAATCAGTAATAAAAATAGATACTGGCTTTTCTCTGATCAAAAAGTCTATTTAGCCACCTCAGTATGTTCCCTGAATTTCACCAATCATTCCTCCATTGTGGATAATTCTGATTTTTTTTTATGTTTGTGGAATCTAATAGTAATCCTGCTGCAGATATTATGTAGAAAAATGAAGTTCCATGACTTTTTCCCCCAATTATTTGTCTATCAAACCTCAGGTTTCAATTGTATTAAAATCCTCTGAATTGATGTTATGTATTTAAATCCAGAAATTTGTAGGTTTTTTTTTACAACACATACCAAACATGATAAGATGTTTCTTCTTGTTCACATTTTCAACATAAATTTAAATGTGAAGTGCTTTTATAAATTCTAGACAATTTCTCTGGTGACATATAATCAGCAGTTAATATTTGATAAAAATATTCAGCAGTATATGAACATACACTATTATGTTTGCTAGGGAGTTTGTAAGTGAGTCAGAAACAGGTCCTTGTAATATATTCTAGGGGAGGTAAGTTTGATATAGAGGCATAATCATTCATTCCTTTTCTGTGTGTTGCCAGAAAAAAATGAAAATATTGGTATCTAGTTTGAGGAGGGAAAGCAACAGGTTCATTTCTAGATCGTTGAGAAGAGCCTGGGTGGCCTTTCTGATTTCTTATGATCCTATGCAATACGTTGCACTGCACTTAGGGGGAAAGAAAACTTATTTTATTTACCATTTGTTATTTTGATTTTCTTAAGAAGTTGACATTCTGGTGCTTCATACTTTGAACATCCCACCCTCTGGAGCAACATCCCTCGAGTGATAAGGACACTCCCTGTCTCGTGAGGCTCTGAAAAGCCCTTTTAGGCCTTTGTCTCATGACTGCGGTTAATGTATTGGGAGGGAGGTGCTGACATGCTTAAATGCTTGATTCATTGTATGTTTTTAATTGTTTAATGTTTTTAATTATTTCAATTTCTATTACATTTTGTAAATATTAAATCTAAATATTAACTACTTAGTAAATATTAAATCTGAATGAAATGTGCAACATCATAATGTATAGTCAGTGGTGGGATTCAGATATGTGAACAACCGGTTCGCTGTGTGGATGCCGCTTCCGGAAGTCCATTCTGGGCCTGGGCAACAAAAAATTAGCTACCGGTTCTGCTGAAGTGGTGCGAACCGGCTGAATCCCACCACTGTAATTTTCTTACAGGTCTATTTCTTTACAATGTAAGTGCTCTAACAATTTTGGTACTTTATTTACCCACCTGAAAAACATATATTTTTTTTCAAGTAGCATTGGAGTTTTGATGAGCTCACTTATCGTCTGTTTCGCTGAAATGTTTGCTATCACCATCAATAACTGCTTATTACCTCAATTTTTGTGCAAAGCTGGAAGAAAGCTGATAATTTTTTTAAAATTCTGTTTTATTGCATCTCTCATTCTTACTTGATTTAATAGCCCTGAGTGCTATTTTCTGGTCTGGGAGCTGAGTAGTTAGTTGAGTGAAATGATTATTGCATATCAGCCATCCTGGTTTCTGGCTGTTTATCCTGTGAATAAAGCAACTGGCAGTAGAAGTCTAGCTGGAAGAAGATCCATTTAGCATTTTGAACTCAACAGCTTAAAGAAACTTAAATTGCTTCAAGAAACTATTTTTAACCCCTGGTTGTTTCCAAGTTTTTCTTATCCATATGAGAAACACTTTGTTATGATGTTTATTAAACATGTGAGCTAGCGTTCACAAAAACGGTAAACAAAATTAAGCACTTTGAAATCCTACTTATCCTAATGAATTAAAAATAAATATTTTGAATTAATACCAGGCAAGATAGAAATTAGTTAATTTTGTCTAAAATATACCTCTGGTATTAACACGCAATAAACAGACAATTCTCTTTGTGGTAGAATAAGTATGATAAAGAAGTATAAAACTACAACAATTGAGAATCCAAAAATGCAATATTTTGAACAACTCTCAAGATGCTGCTGCATGTTGTTTTTGCAAATAAACTGATGCCCGCTACATTTCCACACTCCATACAAAAAGGACAGATTTATTTTTTTTTGCACATTATTGTATTACTTTTTCAAAAGCAACTGCCATTCACAAAGCCAAGGTTCAACAGTGATTATTCTGGAATTGGAGTATCCCACAAGTAGATTCTGCAAGTGGACTTCCCCTAATTTAAATCATTGTCATTCAGATTTGCCAGTGGAATTATATAAGACAAACCAGATTTCATCCATATACAAATTACTTATGCATGAGAATCTTTGTTGGGCAGTACAAGTGTCTCTAGCACAGAATCTAATCCTTAGCTCTTGTAATACAATATTACTAATATATGTAGATGCACTTGTATTTTGCTAAAGAAATCCCTCTGTATTATCCCTCTATAGTCCATATTCCACTCATTATATTTAACATACAGTAATCCTTTTTTTTCCCTACAAAACAAAAGCAAAGTTGATTATTTCAAATCAAGGCATCACATTGTTTTCTGTCCTTTTCTGTCCTATCGCTCATTGACCATCTTGGCCCATAATTTCTATCAATTCTAACAATCACTTTCTCTGTATCACATTTCATCCCCACCTTTGGTTGTCACTGTGCGAAGAAAAGCAAGGCTCCTCTTGGCTGGCTCAAACTTGGCTGAAGCTACCAGCCAACTACTGTAGTCAAGGATCTTCATTGCATTGGAGGATTCAAACTATTTCAGAGAACTGATTGCCTCCTGATAGTGTTGGCTGTTGCTCCCCTCTTCTATCCTGTTGAGTTTAAATTTGGTGCCTTTGTCTCCAGAAGCTTCCATAATGTAGCATAAGCCTTCCTTAATACTTCTCACATACCGTGCTAGACATGTGTAGTGTTTTTATCCCAGGAACCCTTAGCTCCCAATGTATGAACTTTTTCTAGTCTTTCCTTTATTCAGCTCTACCAGCACTCCCCTTTTCATTCAGCCCTCCTACCCTGTATTGGACCCCTAACTCAACTCTCACCTTCTGTATTGTTTGGGTGAATAGATTTCTAAATAGAATCTGCAGATTATAACTTCATATGAACTGGCCAGAAAGTTTTCTAAACATCTCCATTCCTTCTAGGTTTCTGTAACTGGCTGTAAGAATAACTTTGGGATGTAGTAGTGGTATTTATGATTTTAGTTTCCTGGTCTGGACTATCACAAAGGGCTGAACATCAGTCTTGCAAGTCTGAATGCGCTTCTTCCCTTACCTGCCTTTATGTTCCAGAGAATTAGAGAGGGTCAATTCTGAGGTACATTCTCCATCTTCATGCCTTTTTTGGACTAGGTTCCTTTTATCAGACTATTATCTAAACGGCAGCTCTTCCTCCTCTCTCTCAAAGTTATTCTCATAGCCCATTACACCTCCTCTTAGAAAGCACAATATTATTTGGAGGAACATTCCTATTATTCAAGCATCTCTTTTGGAATTTTTCTTTCAAATGCTGTCATTTCCACTTTCCTTACAAGTTGTCATTCTTTCTCCAAGTCCCTTCATGCCTTTTAGAAAGAGAGAACCAATGGTTTCTTTTCTCAGGAAACCTGGAGGATGGAAGAAATTTTCTTTTTCCTTTTCTTGGGTCTGTTCTTTTTTCCGTTTCCCTTAGTTTTCCTCTTCCAGTTCTCTACATCTGAATTGCTACAACTAGGTTTTAACTTTATCCTGATGTTCTTTTGTGAATGCCTTGTAAATGATTCCTTGTTATATGCATTTAATAATATTTTTTTCAATAGTATTTTCAAATATCAGATTTTGACCTCAAATTCAGCATATATTTATTGAAAGTTACCAAGTGTATAAATAACGTGTATAAATATATCTTATTTTTCAATTAAATGAATTTATTAATTTGCG